CTGAGGAGGCATGGTGCTTCTCTGGGCCATAGGGACCATGCAGGGCCTTCTGGTCATGTAAGGGTCCAGCACCTCTCTTGCTTCCCAGAATTAGCAGCTTTTGCAAGTGCTGAGCTCACATAGGAATTGCCAAGAATATCCACAGAGCGCCATCTTTGTGTGCCCTCTGCTATTCCCCTCAGTTCACAAGGAAGCAAAGAAATTAACCATCACAAACACCCCCACAGCAAAGCCCCGTCTGGCTGCATTTTAGCCAAAATCCTACACAGTATTAAAAGTACACTTTATTTTCTGTACAGTTCTCATCCAAATCTCCAGGCATGGAGATGGGTCCATCGCATCCCTATAAAAAGTTACGGGCTGCTCTACTGCCCTGGGACAACCCAGAGCTGTCCATGAAGGGCGCAGAGCGAGAGCCAGCGGAGGCAAGTGCTGATGCTTTCTGGACGTGGGGAGGACAGGTGAAGGAAGGAGAGGGGAAAGCAGCTCTTCTGCTCCACAGCTGAGTCTCCAGCAAGCAGAGCTATGGGCTGACCCCTGGAACAGGGGCTATGGGCTGACTCCTCCCGTTCACGTCATCGTTCATGTTTAGTGTTCGAGTCGCGCTCAACGGTCACCCCGTTTCCATTCCGCGTCACCTCCTTCCTGTTCCAGTCCTTTTCCATGTAAAATTCAGCTAGCACAGGGCAGTGGTCTGAGGCTACTCCACCCCAGGACCAGTTATCAGGGATCCACGGGTTTGTAAGACCTTCTCGCACAACAGCCCAGTGGCCTGCAAGAAAAAGAATCACATAAAAAGCTCGGTATGAAAGAGGTGCCTGGATTTAAACACATTTCCACAAGCTTGCAAAAGAAATACTTAGCATGCTAAGGAATTGAAGGCAGCTACAGGAAGCCACAGCATCATAGGATCGGTAAGGTCAGAAAAGATGTCTAAGATCACCTAGTCCAACCACCACCCACCATGCCCACTGTTCATGTCCCTCAGTGCCACATCTACACGCTTCTTGAACACCCTGATGGACAGTGACTCCACCAGCTCCCTGGGCAGCCTGTTCCAACGCTTGACCACTCTTTCTGAGAAGAAATGTTTCCTAATAGCCAACCAGAACCTCCCCTGCCACAAATTAACACTATTACCTCTTGTCCTATCAGTCCTTACCTGGGAGAAGAGACCGACCCCCATCTCACTACAAGCTCTTTTCAGGTAGTTGCAGTCCAGCAATAGTAGCTGTATGCCAAGCAGTATCACTCACATTTGACCCAATGCTAAGCTCACACAGGCTACGTGACTTAACCAAACAGAAACTCTACCTGTGAAAACCTTCTTCAAACTCCGGCTGATCCACATGTTGTCCAGCGACTTCGATCCCTGGGGGTTCTTTGTGCTGATGTTAGTAAACGTATTTGAAGGGACCAAGTGATGGAACTTCTCCTTCCTCAGAATGTCATGGTCGCTGCTGTCGGGAGCCTGGTTAAAATCTCCCAGGATGATTACATCTTTTTCCCCTGGAAAAGAGAAAAAAATGGAAAGAAAAAAGAGAAATTAAATCAGAATGGACATCCACAGCTTAAAAGGAAGAAGAGGAGGAGATGATGAAAGGAGGCAATACACAAGTACTTTATAGCAAACCTGACTTTACTCTGAACTCCTGAAAGCAATGCTGTTTGAAGCCTTTTTCACTACTACTTACTCGTGGCCATCCTGTCCAATGTGTAGCAGACAAGGCTCTGGAGAGACCTCCTTGTGGCCGCTCAGTGCATGTTTCTTGACTGTTTCTAAACATCAGCTTAATTACACTGGGATCCTCTGCTTGCTATTCACAGTGACAGAGTAGCATTTCTAGTCTTGGAAGTTTGTAGAAATCTGTGACTTTGTAAGCTTATTTTTTTCCTTCTGCTCCAAAAGCTACGCCTCCTACTTAATTATGTCAGCCCACGACATCAGAGGCGCGTGTTGGTGGTGTGGCAGTAGGGGTTGAACCTTTTCACCAATATTCCATCACATTTTGTCGCTGTGTGACAGATGGCAGCAGAGGGAAGGTCTGACCAAATGGCATCTGATGCGGAAGTGCAGATCAAGCAAAGCCGTGGCACTGAATTCCTCCTTGCAGAAAAAAATGGCACCCATTGACATTCATCAACACTTGCTGAATGTTTATGGAGACCAAGCAGTGGACATGAGCACAGTGAGGTGATGGGTGGTGCATTTCAGCAGTGGCAGCAGCAACATGGAAGACAAGCTGCGTTCTGGACAGCCATGCACAGCTGTCACACCACAAAATGCAGAGCACCTTCATCAGCTCACACATGTGAATTGGCAAACTGCAACCAGGGAGCTGTGGACAGAGCTGAAGATCAGCTTCAGTGCACGGGAAATGATGGCGGCAACACTGGAACGTCACAAAGTTCACATCAGGTGGGTCCCACAAATGCTCATCCAGGAACACCGTGAACAAGTTTGTCAAGACCTACTGAACCAATACAAGGCTGAAGGTGACAGCTTCCCAGATTGCATCATTACACGTAGTGTCACCAGTATGAGCCAGAGTCAAAATGACAGTCGAGAGTGGTGACATGTGAATTCCCCATCAAAGAAAAAGCTCAAGATCCAGCCCTCAGCAGGTAATGTGATGTGCACTGCCTTTTGGGATAGGAAAGGGGTGATTCCTCTGGATTTCCTGGAACACAGACAAACCAGCAGCTCTGACTCCTACATTACGACACTGACTGTCGTAGCTGAAGACTCCAGAAGCCATATTTTTTTGCTAATATATATCAGAGCCCCAAAAGTGCAGTGCCTGTTCTAAACCTGTGTGTTGAGGAAATCTCAAAAAACAAGCCTGAAATGCAGCCTGCAAACTTGTCAGCTGCAGGTTAGCTCACAAACCATGCAGACACTCACTGGCTATAGAAGCTCTCCTTCTCCCAGATGGCTGAAGAAATACTGCTGAACTTCAACATGTTAGAATCCGACTGGGGCCTAATTTCCAAAGGAACTAAGGAAATGACATGAAATACTTGTCCAAAATGCCTTCTTTCTGTGGAAATAAGACGACCTCACTTATATTTTATTTCCAACCCTGAGTAAGAAAAGAAACTCTGGGCCTTAATTTTATATCCACAGCATGTGCTCTCCATAGCTCTACAGCTGGAGATGGAGATATCCCAGCTGTGCAATGGGGTAAGAGGAGGATGGACGTGCCTGCTGCCCTGCCAGAAAGGTGTGATGGACTCCAGGACTGTGACAGCTGAGCAAAGACTGCTGCAACACAGACCTTGGTACTGTGGAAAAGGAGGAATCCGCAACAAGGATGCACCAAAAATGATCACAAAGCCGATTTCAAAGAAGGCCACTGTTATATTCTGTAAGTGCCTTCGCTTTCTGTGGTTGAAGTGTGGAGGAAGAGGACTGAGAGACTGTTCTACCGAAAGCAGCACTCATGGATAAACCTGCCTGCTGTGTGCTGCTGCTGTACAAGTAGCAAGCCAAAAGAGGGAGCACAAGTTAAACAATGAAATCCATTGCACTCCTCTCTGCCTGCAGTTCTACAAAGATGAAGTGAGAGGGGGCAGGAGGGCAGAGAGACTGGTGATTTATGATTTACAAAAACATAAATACTTCTAAACGCGCCGCTAGCTGAAATACAGAGAGGTGATGAAAACTAATGAAACTACTTGTAGCTTCTGTGCCCTTTGCGAGCCATGCTCATATTGAACACGACACGACGTTTAAATGTTATTCTGCAAAGTGCCAGTGATACCGACCTTCCCACCTTTAAAAGAAAGACAAAAAACAAGCCTGAGCCCAAGTTATTTTAAGATTCGTCAGAACCCGAAACAAAGTCAGTGCTTACCTAATGGGGAAGCACGAAGCCCCTGGAGAGAACTGGTTTGCTCTCATCATCTGAACAAAGTGCTTTCACAGTGCCTCTGAAATGCCACCTTCCGCTTCTGCAGCTCTCATCTTGGTGAGGCAGGCAGGCTTCCCTTCCTGCAGCACGCCAAGCAGCATGCTTGCTGTGAGCTGGCAGTGCAGAAAAGCTAAGATCTGGACCGGCAAGAAGAATCTGATGATTTCATGTCTGGGCTTCGTGGTGCAGCAGGAAATTGCAACAAGTGCAACTGCTGCACTGCCGCAGTCCTCCAGACTGATGTTTGCTGAATGGCCAAGGCAGTGCTTGCACCCTGATATAAAGGGGGAAGGCCACTGTGGAAAGGTCTGGGGTGCACCCTTGATGGGGATTACAAACTACAGGCAGGCAGGAATCCCAGCAACAGCACCTCGGCCCTGCACAAAATATTTATTTGAGCAAATCTTCCAGCCTTACGTGAAAAATGTCTTAAAAACTGTAATCACAAAAGGAAATTTTAACTGACTGCTCGATTCTGAATGACACAGAAATAGCAGAGCCTAAAATAATCAACACCTAGATATGCTCGTGGAATCAGGTACAAAGTCAGTCTGGTGTATGCACAGGAAATGAGTCACTGTATTCTTTTCTGTTTCAAACTTTCTCATGCAGAACAGATAAGCATACAATCATAACACCATAACATAAAGTGGACAGAGAAGGGATAAATGGGGTGCAGTGAGCATTCAAGAAGCCAAAACTCCATTTTCCAGCCCATCACCAAAGGAAAGAGTCTCTTTCTGGTCCCCTCAACCGGAAGCTCCTGGTGCTCCACGTAGCTGCAAATCCCTAGCAGAACAACTGTGCAGCAAGACATCTGCAGAGCTTCATTTTGTTGTCCTGCAGCAATGGTGAAACCCTCAGTTGTTCCACAGCAGTACAAAGGGACCCTGAAGGACACTCTCCCTTGACTTCCACATGCCCTGAATCAGACCCTAATGAGTTAAACAGACACTTAAATCCCCATGTTCTTCCTGAAGAGCGCGAAAAACAAAACGGAAAGGATGTGGCAGCACTCACACTGGTAAGAAGCTCCCTACCACCTCTCAGAGGTCTTCTAGGCCAAGCTGCTGATGCACAGGCACTTTGCAGTATGGCCAAGCCAGGTGGAAGAAGATGACTAAGCCAAGCCTGGGTCCAAGCACTACAGATAATGTCTGCAAGGTCATGGTCACCACAGTGGATATGAGCAGGTGGAGTGCTTAAGAGAAGGCAGAAGGGTTGCTGCAGAGTTAGCTACCAGCAGCAGACAACCACCAGGTCTCTCTGGTACAACTGAGAGTAAAGGAGGACAAAAAGGAACCAGGACGCACACATCTGATGGGAGAAATGTGGGTACACAGCTGCTCTGGGGGATGGAGACGTTACAGGAGACTGCCTAACTGAACTTCTTGAGCATGTCTTCTTTGTAAGGCAGCAAAGAAGGCGCCTGTTAGCAAAATGGGATCAGAAATATGGGCTGATTGGAATAGCAACAGGCAAATCAGCCTCAATTAATCATATTTGATGGATTGGCTTTGAAAAGAAAAAAAAAAAAGATTTTTTTTTTTAAATGTAATTTTAAGCCTGCCTTTGATTTTGGCTGAGTAATTCAGTGCTCAAAACAACACGTGTGCACAAGTATTTGTTTGGGAAACAAGACCTGCATCCCACACGTTAGGAATTTGAACTTCACCTTTTGTGAAAGACTGAGTCAAGAACAAACAGGCCGCAGTGACGTGCCCACCACATGGCAATGAAAACAAAAACGAAAAGAAGCCCTCCTGTCAACAGCCTAAATTTAGATGCAGAGGAAATGCATCTCTGTTGACTTCGGAAGAGCAACACAGTTATCTGCATCCCGATTCAGCCTTCTGGGATTAAACAAATGACCCTTTTGTTTGCCTTCATCCTTTTCTTTCAGGAGGTATGTGGACAAATACTTGAATCTGTAGCACTTAAAAATAGCTCCCACTGACTTCTTGCAGCTCTAAAGGAGAAACAACGGAACATGCATAAAAACTGTAATTACCTCTTGTGTTATACAAGAGGATTTTAATGCTTTCAAGTGACTGACCTTGCAAAACTATGCCAAGAGGAAAATCATCGTGACTGTAACCTTGTAACCCTTTTACTTCTTTGTGAAATGGTAAGCAAAGGGCTAGATTTTCCTATTCCTATGAAAAGATCACCAATGCCAACACCACTCTGAATCTGAAACCTGCTGTTCTGCTCCACTGGAAACTGAGTTAAACCTGAAAGAATCAGAATAAGAAGCAAATTCTTCAGCTGTCTGTTAAATTGCTCAAGTTGAGATACAAATTCTGGTGTCGCTCATCCTGGGCTACAACCAGAGCAACTTGTCTGAAACCAACAGAATTGTTTTACTTATTGCATCCATGTACCAAAGGTGGTTTCTGGTCTGCTTTCTCTTAGCAAGCATCTCCTGACCTCCACTGGGTTTTCCAAAGTGCTTCCAAATATCCAAAAATAGACAAAGGACAAAATTCCTTTGGGAAAAGGCCAGCTAGTTTTGTTCTGATATTAAGTAGATCAGTTTTAACCCAGTATCTTCTGTTTGTTTGGATTTGCCCTTATGCTAGCATAAAATCACAAGGAGATTCACTTGAAAAGCGTGGTTGAAGGCAGCAGGATCTTCTGAGGTATTTGTGTTAATTAGAATAGATTGTAAAATAGTGAGCAGAGAAAAAACACACTTTGCACGCTGTGCACCATTCAAAGAAAGGTAAAGGCAATGTACAGCTGATGAGGAAACTTGTGAAACCTGCACTAAGACAGTTATATCCATATGCTAAATTCCTTTCATGAGGTACGTGCAGATGCTAACTGGAAGGAAGACAACACCATACCTTTCAGAGTCTCCTGCAAAGTCTGTGCAAAGGTTGCTAGTTTGTGGCTGTCGTGGTTCTTCCCTGCGTTGTCCCCCACTGCAGGAGCCAAGGCCAGGTGAAGGTTAACCAGCGTTAGGTCATTCATCCCAACCTGGGGGAGGAAGGAGAGAAAGCAGTGCAGCACAGGGCAAAGGGAGGTCAGAGAGCAAAGATATTCCCCTGTTCCATACTTTTGGCAGTAAGTCCTGGTGACTGGGACCCATTTCATGCTGCACACAGTGTGTTGTGTTTTGCCTTGGTGTTTTGGGAAGACAGCTCTATTTGGACTACTGTGGCAGCCCTTCAGTTCTGGGGAAACTGATTTTTGTAACTATGCAGTTTCTTTCTACAGCAGCTGCAGAGAGAAGCTGATTCTTTACGAAAACCAGTTTATGCAAAACCAGTTGTTATTAAGCCACAAATAATGGCTTGCTCATTACGTGGACTAATTACTGCCCTCCTGTGATCTGCCTTGGCCTGCCACAGAGATTAGTCATGAAACTTAATGTACCTTGAAATGAGCCGCTGGCTCCCCCTAATCTGCTGCTTACCTTCTGGGGCTCACTTTGTCGCGTGGCACAAGTAATGCTTACTTCTAATCCTGACCTGCTTATGTATTAGAAACTTCTCTCAAACTGCCTAAACTGGATACAGCCAGTGCAGAGAAGGGGGCTGTACATTCACTCATCCATACACACAAGAGCAGCTTGGAAAGAGTCAGTTTCCAAACTGCACAAAGTTCTCTCATACAGGTGCAGCCTAGTGAAAAAGCTTCAAAATGGAAACTCTGCACTGTGCCAGCAATGCAAGAGATCAGCCTGAGCCTCTCCAAAGCACGATGCCTTCCATGCACATCTGTTCTGCTTACACTTACACCATCTCCACCCATCATTTCTGGCTCTGACCAGAACCACGGGGCCGTGGCTGCCCTGCTTCTCAATGCTCACCTCCCTGAAAGCTGAACGAGGTGACTGGTGATTTCTGTCACTCTATCAGACTGCAGGCACTGCCAAAGGTCCACTGGCCTCATGTGCCTCAATGCTCCATTGCAGCAGGGCTCCCTCCCACAGGACTAAGGGAAAGGACTGACTCTGCTGATAAACTCACCTACTGAGATCACTGAGCACCTTCCTGTAACCGAGCCATAAGAGACTGATGAACATGGATTAGCCTGATGCTAATGCTTTTTTTTTTTAGTCTGTTAGGAGACTCTTTCCAGCCTCCTGTCCAAAACTTTCAAATCAAAGCTCATCTCAACTGGCAGAACTGACTTACCTTGAAATGTGCAATATATGGGTGAGGATATGAGTGTCTCCCATTGCCATTAGTCTGTACATTCTCCTGAAAAGAAGCGTCTTTGAGCTCAATGCCAGCTGTTGTATCCCAGAGAAAACCAGAATATTCGACTCCCTGCAATTAAAGCAAGAGAAAAGCCAATAATAAGATGTTAAAAATAAAACATTCTGCCCAAATTATGAAACGTTAACCCGAATGTTTCAGTCAACTTGGTATTGCTATTGGCAACAGTGTATTATCACTTCCCAAATATGTGGAGGTGGTAAAAGGTGTCTATTGTGGCTTGGCACCTGCTGAGGACAGGAGGCGGATCTTGCTGTGCGCTGGTTGAAGGGAGAAACAACACCCTAGGACAGATAGAAAAGCTTCTTTATTTCACCCTGGCCCTAATCCCCTCTACATACAGGATGAATGGGCAGTGCCACCGAGCACGCTGAGTTGAAGTGCACATTGCCTTGCTACTCACACCTGCATGCTGGCTCTTGGACCCCCAGGTAAGCAGAGCACTGCTTCCTCCATCCAATACTTTCCTAAGCTGCTCTATCTTAGGTAGAGCATGTTCAGCTCTGCTGCAGTGGTGAAAGATTTAGCTGCAGCATCCTGTGTGCATCTTCAGGCTGACACATGTCCTTCACTTCCTGCTCTTCCAGGCAAGGAATCTGATTCTTCTCAGTGTGGTCAATAATAAAGTAGTTTATGTCCCCAGCATCCGCAGCATCCCTCCTCTGCCAGTGGTCAGTGGTACTCATTTATGAGGAGAGCATACTTGGCGTGCACAGTTGCTTGCCTTTCTCCTGACAGCCTCTTCCAAGCACCAGCACACCAGTGCAAGCAATCCTTTCCCATTCCTTCTCTCCACACCATAGGTGATCTTACAGACTTCTGCCATGCCCAAGCTAAAAATACCCAGGCTCATTCAGCCTCTTGGCAAGACATCTGGTCCAGACCTCTCAGCCCTGTCAGTTCCCTCTGTCTCCTTTCCAACTGAAGTGATTCATGTTCAGGTTTCCACTTCTTTCATCCTAGTGTCTATCACCCTGCAAGGTTTTCTTAGACTACTTGGGAATGCAGCATTTCCAGAAAGCTGCCTGCCCCCATTACACCAGCAGCAGTATCTACTTCAAAGCCTGTCAAGCATTTCCTCTCATCACACAGACACAGTTTGCCCTGGTACCATTCAGACCTAGTGAATCATAGTTAAATCCATCTCAAGGAAAAGCTTTCCATTTCGGCTGCAAAAAGAAAGTGTTACCTGTTCTACTGTATTCCTATGAGCCTTGAAAGAAAGTACAAAGTTTGGCTAAAATCCTTTGGTGGCATCTTTGGCCAACTCACCACCGAACTCCAGTCTAATGTCTGAAACCTGAGTAGGCTATTAGAAAAGACATGGAAGAATAGAAGAGCTGTCAGCAGCTCCCCACAATTCCCTGACTTCAGATTTCTCATCAATACAGTGGCCCAAATCAGTGTTTGGTAGGAGGTGAAATGACTGGGAAGTGTGGAAGCATGAGTGTGATGCACTGCCCCCTATTTAGCGCTGCAGATCATCCCATGAGCAGTTTGTGCTGAAGGTGCTACGTATTTAAGGGTAACACTGCATTACTTCATTGCATTGTGTTTGTGTACAGTGTCCAAACCTGATGAACCCATCAGGTAACCTAAGGGACAGAAAAGGTTTTTTGGCTGTGTGAAGGGTGCTGTAGGGTAGCCAGATTTCTCTTCTGCAAAGGCACCTAAAGGGAAGAGTCAGTAAGTAACATTGCTGTTTTTAGTTTGGCCACAGCCTCCTCCCACAGTTTGAGAAATCCTTCATCCCTACATCCCTACCACAGCACACGCTGATTTCCAGTTACTCGATCCACAGTCAAAACATTCATCTTTGGAACGTATCTCTGGAAATACAGCTCAAGAAAGAACTGACTTAACAACCTACATGTAACACAGAAACTCCCAGACAATTACCAATAGTTCCTATTATTAAGGCAAAAAGACATAGCAAAGAGAACAACTTCACACAAGTGTTTAAACTCAGCGCCCTAATGACCTCGCATAACAAGAGATCCCAAAACAAAGATTCCATCCAGGAATAAAAACATCCTGAAGGGGATTTGCTCTCTGCGTTGGAAATAAGAGTGTCTTCCTGAATTGTGCATTCAGGTTACAACTGGAGCCACTTATTTACTAATGACAGCACTCAGATGAGATGAAAGTAGCCCAGTGTGTGTGTCTCATTACAAGTCTCAGCTCTTGCTTCCACTGCACAACAACGTCCATGCTGTAACAGCTGCATCGTGACAGTGATCCTGTTTGATACCAGCAGCCTCCAGTCAGCAGGACTTTGCCCTGAAATCCCATTAGCACCCTTGAAGGGAAGAGGTTCCCCTTGGAACAGACCACCTCTGGCTACCATTAGTAAAGTTCAGCCCCATGCAGCTCTACTGTGAATACTGCCAAGGGTGGCAGGTGCAACCATCACCACCTCGGCATAGTGCAGCACTGTGCTGTTTTTCAGTGGAGTCCAAGGAATATTTCTAATACACGTGCAGGGCACCTCAGGAAACACGCTAGATAAGCTCCTCTGCCAGATGAGGACAGCATGCTGAACAGCCCCTCTGTAGGGTCTTCGCTTGTAAAGCTGTAAAGCTGGAAGCTCTCCCAAATTTCAGCCAGTACTGCAGTACATAGCAAGCTCAGCTGACCAGCAGAAAAAATTCAGAAGTACTGCAGTGTATGAGGGGCAAAACAAAGGGCTCCTTCCTTGTCCTGACACACAGCTTTCTTCTGCATTTCTGTACTGTCTTTATCTGTTACTCATCCCCAAACCCCAAACAGGCACCTTTCTCCTTATAATTATGCCACAGGCTGGGGAAAATGATTCTCTCAAAATACCAACAGGACAGTCGAGTTCTATATAAACAGTCAGCTTAAAAAAAAAAAAAAGAAAAAAAAAGTTACCAACCTTGCCAAAAAAGATTTGCAAAATGTTTTGCCTTCAACAGATGATTAAAAACATGTCCTTGGTTAGAGGGGAAAAAAAAAAATAGTGAAGCAAAAGTTCAAACATGGAGATTAATGTACCTTAGGTAGCTGGCCTGAGGGCTTTTCGGAAACAACACCCTTCCAACATCCTCTAGGGCCCTTCCACTTGCGGATGTTTGGCAGCGTCGGCTGGTTCAGCTCCATACAAAACTAGAGACAGAGAGGGAGGTGGAGGAAAAAGATCAGCTTTGTAAGACTTTCAAAAGAACTGCAAAAAAGCATGCAAAAAGACATTGATAGAGCGCAGCGTGCAATACACACCATAGTCCCCTCTGAAATGTTAAGCAGTGCCCAGCTACAAATCTGAGGTTGTTTCTGCCTGAGGCCAAGGAAGTTGTATCAGATTGTTAGCTACAGAATTTAAGCTCTGGTTTTTAACCACTGCAGTAGCCTAGGCCAGTCCCAGAAGGGAAGCTCGCTAATGTGGAAAGAACAAAAGCCAGCCTTTAGCACACATGTGGGATGCAAAACCCCTGCTTCCCAGGAAGGCTCACACAGGAGGAGGTCTGGGACGGGGCCCAGAGACGTAGCATCAGTGGAGGCTGGGTAAAAACAACCCTGCGAGCAGAAGGTATTGGAAAAATGCCTAAGTTTCTTCCTTGGGCTCCTTTTCCCCCAAAGCAGCAGCCTGTGTTGGGGAGCTGGGCTGGGGGCTTTAGGGGCAGGAAGCAGCAGTGCTGGCTGCTCTCCAGTGAATCCACAGGAGCCAGAGGAAGGGAGGAGGTCAGACTCAACAGCCTGCACTCAGCTGACAGAACCACTTTGGGTTTACAGCTCCAGGAAGTACCTGTGGCTTGAAAGGGGGTTCTAAAGAAACAAGTTGGCATGTGAACAGTTCAGGCTAATACACCTCCAACAAACCAATGAGCCAAGGGTGGGCTGGGGGAACTGTGAGGGCAGATAAATCAGAGGAATGAGATCCTCCATGCTACGAGGCATGTGCATTTCAATGGGCAAGTAAAAAAATGACAACCAGAAAACAGGTACCAGAGCCCAGCTGTGCATGCAATACACCTGCTGTAATAGCACCCCATGCACTGACTGTGGCTGTGGAATGGCAGATGCATTCTGGATGCTTGAGATTTCTTGTCCACGCAGGGACTGGCTGCACATCTGCACACACAGCAGATCTTTGTGATGCTGCCCACAGACATTGGCTTTCCTGGGCACTGCTGTACAGCCACAGCACCCAGACCCATTTCCATTGCTATGCATGTGGTCAGAGAGCTACAGAGCATGCACAAGCAGAACAAGGATGCTGGAACTCTACCACTCATATTGTCCACTACACCATGTCCCAAAGCACTGAGGAGCCCAGAACTGGACACAGTGTCTGCTATGCACAGTGGTCCTCTGTGGTGGGACACACCTCTGGCCAGACTCGGTCTGAAGAGCTGCCGTCTCTTGGCAGATGGTAGGATGGTAAGGATGATATATGGGCATAGTGAAATGAAGAAAGGCTGCACCTTTCCAGCTTGCCATCTACTTTTCTTCTCACGTCTATTTTTCCTTTACTTTCAAGAAGACAAACCAAACCTTGCTCTTTTACTAACTGGCTTATCTGTGAGTTCAGTATCCTGGATGCTGAAGCTGTAAGCATGTGCCTCTAAGATACACACAACCACAAACCAACCTTTTCCTATCTTGGAAGGCCAAGACACATTTCAGTTTTTTAGTCAAAAGAATAATAACTGACAAAAGAGTCAATTTATCTCTGGGTTGCTGCTGCCCAGCAGCCAGCATGGCAGGGCTGAGTAATGTTACAGAAACCATCGTGTTATTGAAAAGAGCATCTGCAATCAAGTAGTTTGAATATTTTTGTTTCCTCCAAATTGATTTTCTTTAACTTTGCTCAATCAGAAAGACAACGTATATGATTATATGGTTTGTTTGGACGAAGCCATCAGCCAGTTCTGGGTACAGTTTCAGCAGCTGAGGGCTTCCCCTGCAGCAGCTGACTTTAATTCATGCCCATTTTCCAGGGCCCTCAGGCACACAGATTTTGGAGCTCTGGCAGTGTACTTGCTCAGGTCGTGTTTTTTGCTGAACTGAGAAGTGTATTTCTTAAATCATGTTGTTCTGCCTGCAAAGCCCAACATCAAACAAGATTACACTTTCCCTTGTACAGTAAAAATCTACAGACAAGCTCATGGCCTGCACAGGGCATGGAAAAAATATTCCTCCTTCTTTTGCAAAGTTAGATCTACATCAATCCCTTTGGGGAGCTGTTACTCAAGTGGTAAAGAAAAGACTGGAATGAAAACCTCCGTCAGAGCATTTCTTCCCTCCCCCCCCCCAAAATCCTCATAAGGAGAAAAGTTCTAGCTTTGTTTTTCCTCACAAGCCTTTCAGCCTGCAGGTTTCCTGGAATGAAATGAGCTTTCTTCATTAAGTCCTGTACATAAGTGATCCAAAACTACTGTGTGCTATCTGCAGCAGAAGGGCTCCTCCAGTGTCGTGGTGGCTCCTGCAGCTTAGTGCTAGCTGTTAAGTGCCTCTGGGCTGCAGGATCGTACTGCACACCGGCTCTGGTTGTACTCCTGGCAAACTGTTCTGGAAAGGTGACCCCCTGTGACAGCCACCTGCCTGCCACCAACGCTTGGAGCAGACAAGGGCCACCATGCCAGGAACTGGGACAAGCCCTGTGGCCTTTGCTCGCCATCAACCCATCATTTACCCAAGCAGGAAGGATCTGAAGACGTAACTGCTCTGTGTTTACCCTGATAAAGAGCCTGCACCTACTGCTGCCAGCCACTTCAGAAGCAGACAGGGACAGCAATAAGGTTATGACTAACTGGCTGGAAGAAGTTAAAGACATGCACCTCTGAGCAGAGACTGGAGGGAAGGCACGGTGCCCTAGCAAGTGTTAATTGTGCAGCACAGGTGCTAGGGAGCACATTGAGCCAGGCATACTTGCATCCCTTGCCTGAAAAGAGAATGCATTAGTCCTTTGAACATTTAGGAAATCAAATGCAACCCAGGAAAACAATGCCTAGAGGCTCAAAACATATAATTATGCATTTCTGATCAGCCAGTGATGACTCTTTGGAGGATGCTTATTTCCACACCTGAGTCAGAGCACAGGCTGCAAAGAGGGTGAAAACACATCATATGGAAGAGCCAGTTATTAGGGCACGGTTTGTCTTGTCTCAGTGCACCAATCATTGCCTAAACTTCAGAAAGGCACTCAAAGCAATTAACTGTTCATTTTCTTCAATTACCACAAAAGCTTTCAGGCCAAAAGAGTGCAGCAGCAAATGTAAACGACAATTTGCTTCTTCAAAGCAAAGGTGGTGTTAGTGCTGCTTAAGAAAGAGAATTTTATCATGTTGGCCTGTCACATCAGAGGTGGATGCTGGTGGTATGGCAGTAGAGGCTGAACCTTCCCACCAGTATTCTATTACATGTTGTTGCTGCGTGACAGATGGCAGCAGAGGAGCAGTCTGACAAAATGGCATCTGACATGGAAGTGTGGATGGAGCAAAGGTGTGTCACTGAATCCCTCCATGAAGAAAAAATGGCACCCACTGACATTCATGGACATTTGTTGAACATTTATGGAGACCAAACAGTAGCTTTTGTAGCTGAGAGTTTGCTCTATCAACTGGTGTTACTGTGCTTGCTCTTCGCATCTGCTGTAGTGTTTTGATGGAAATAAACAGGAGGCAATACTCTCAGACTGACCTCCGTGTATAACAGTCTCTGTGTTTTTAAGAGGCACTGGGGGAGTAAATTCCATGACTAGACAAGGTGCATATGAAACTTCTATCAATTCCTTAGCATTTCAGATATGTTAAGGGATGGCACACGAGTAAAGATTTGAAATCATCATGGTGAAAGAGACCTGGAGTACAAGGAACAAAGAGTGAGGGAGTTGGCAGCAGTTGAAAAGGAGACTTTCAGCATCAGAAAGACAGACACTTAACTGTATTGTCATGTCAAAATTCACTACCTGTTTTAAACTGCAGATCCTGGAAAAGTCTTGAAGTAGAAATCTGGACCTGTCATTCAAGTCGCCTGATAGAGGGCTGTGCAGTTGTGCCTGGGTTCTCACATAACCAAACATAACAGCAGAGAAGGAAGCATTATTATGACTAAAGCCTAAAACAGACTCAACACTGGATCCTTTTTCCTACTGACAGCAGTGCAGTCTCAGGCCTTCACTGCTTGTTTGCCTTTCCCTGAAGCGTATCCGTTTCCTGTTTGCAGAAGAAGCCAAACCCTGATCACTCCTGAAAACACACACCATGGGGATGCAGACACCGATGTGTGGGATGCACTGCAGCCTCCTTTCAGAGGAACCACACAGGTAATGCAGGGAAGGGGGTGGCCCTGTGCCATCGTGACTAATGTTTTATACATGCCCATTCCATTACTGTCTTCCAGGAAGACCTCATGGAAGGTTTTGTAATACTTATCGATCGTGTTCTTCAAGCACTGATAGCACAAAAAGGCAAACAGACCCTGGCAGGTAGATGGAGGCCTGCCAGACAGATAATTATTGGTATTTTCAAAGGAGAACAAAACTCCACAGACAACAAAGGTCTCAGATATATTGATACGTTTTGTTATGGAAAAGGATTGCACTTCCTATCATGAATAACTTTACAGTGAAGAAAGGCGTGGTTTATAAAAGCCAAGTAACAAACTTTAGGAGAAAAACTGTATGATGAAAGCTAAGATAAGGAAGAAATCTATTGGACACGCCACAGATGTGGAGTTACTCCTGGCAAGGTTATCAGCCCATCTTGCCATGTTAGTGCGTCCTGTTCATGCCATGTCATCTGGACCCGGGGCAACATCTTCCTTTCTGTACTCACTGGCTCATCGCTCCTAGAGCTAAATCACAGCATTAAGATTGATGACTAAGTCCAGCCATCCTCCATGCTCTTTGCAAACATTATTGAATGCATCCCTCAAACAGAAACTCACTGCGAGCAGCAAAACAGAGGCAGAGCACTTGAGCACTGCCCATCCAGCTGCAGCCTTGACCAGCGTCCCTCTTCACGCATAAAACTGCATCTACAGGCACCATCACCATGGACAAAGCTTGTTTGCTGTGATAACATGCATACACACACATCCATGTTGGAAAATATGAGCTCCTTCCAGACCCAGTGTGATGCAAGTTGATTGAAGTTTTCTGTTGC